GGGGGGGGGGGGGGGGGGGGGGGCAAGGAACCCCAAGGCTTTCCTGCCTTCCCTCATTGCCAGGACCCAAGAGTTGACTGAGAGGAGAAAAAGCAGGTCAGGGTGGGGTTCCTAAACCGGGGCTTCTTGTCCTGGACTGAGAGGCCCAGTCCAGATTCCTCAGAGTGCCCCTGGAGCCAGCCAGGGGTTTCCCTCTGCAAGCCACAGGGCTAGCTCCGCCCACCGCTTACCTTCCTCCCGTTCACAAAGAACACCAACTCATCGGAGCTCTGGGATGGGCAAGGCATGGCTCTGGTGAGTAAGTTTCGCCTCCGGGCTCTAGGCAGGAACCCTTTCCGATGCCAGCCACAGAAGTGGACAGAAAGGAGCCAGGTGGGAAACAGGCAGCCTTGAGCCCCAGCAAGGACAGCTGGGGGTGTAGAGTTTCTGCTTCACCACGGCCTTTTAAAGTCCAGGGCCCTGTGCGGCCTCCTCTAATCCGATTCCTCACCTCCCACCAGCCCTGGCTTTGAAGCTGGTTCAGCCAGGATGCAGCCTATACCTACCTCGTCTTGCTTCCTCTGAAATCCGAGCGCTGTGCGAAATCCACAAACAAACACCTAAGCTTAAACCCACCATGCATTGTCTCACCCCAGCACCCCGCCTCAATCCTGGTGGATTTCACCCTTCTCAGAAAGCTAGCGGTAGAAGGTAGACTTCCAAGACCCGCGCCCCACTTTCTCTGCGTGTTTCTCATTCTTTCAGAGTCAAGGATGCCTCGTGGGAAAACCTGCAGATGAATTCAGTCTGTTTAGGTGGAGAGTGTGGTGTCACACCCACTTGGACCCTCCAGGTCCTTCCTGCTTCTGCCTGCTCGAGACAGAGTTGTTGGGAAAGCATGATCTGTTGAAGATGTCCTGGGGCCAGTGCAGACATGGCGGGCAGTTCGTGTCTCAGAAGTAACTGGGAACTAAGCCGAGGTCTCCTGGTTTGAAATAACCAAGTGTACAGACAGCCCACGACGAGAAGATGCCATGCTTACGCAAACGCCCTCCAACTGTGCATCCACCTATGATAATCTCATGCTGTTTTCATTGGTTAACTAAAGTGATGCCCAAGGCTTGTTGCATGTGGGTAAAGCGAGCAGCTGCTTCTGTGGTCTGGTTTTGGGAGAGTTGATGAGTCTTCTTTTTTTTCTAGAGCATCCTTCATGAGGTCATGAGCCCCAGCACCCCCGTTAGAGTAAAACCTTGATGCTAAGATGAACGTCCACTGTGTGACATGGCTGTGGGCCAGGAGTACCCAGATTCTCTGGGCCTGGCCTCCTTCTCAGTCTGCTCACAGGTGGCTTCCTCCTGCCACAGAGTCGCTCCAGAAAACACGCCCAATCAGATGCGGCTGTCAGCTTTCACATTTCTCGACAATTTGAAAGGCTAGCTCTTCAAGCTTCCCGGTTTACACAGACACATGGGTGTGTCTATGTGGTTGAGTCACACATGTTAACAAATGGCTGAACAAATTGGAGTAAGACTTTGGGAGGGGAAGTTGGAGACCTCTGTGAATTAGACAGGGCCTCCAGGCTGGCTTCTTGGTCATGTCCTGCAGTTCAAAAACCCCTGATAGCTCTCTGAGGCCTGGGATATAAGACCCAAACTCTGGTCTACAGAGCGAGTTCCAGGACAGGCTCCAAAGCTACACAGAGAAACCCTGTCTCAAAAAACAAAAAATAAAACAAACAAGCAAACAAAATCCAAGCTCAGTAAGTGTGCTAAGCGCCCCCCTGCCCTTTTCTATTTCTGGACTCAGATGCTCTTGCTCTGGGGGAAATTCTCCCAAGCCAGCCCAAGAACTCACCACCCCCTTGTGCTTAAAGCTCTAGGCTCTTCCGACGGCTCCCTACGACGTTGAACAAAACTCCATACGCCCGCCATGGGAAGCCTATGGCTCCACTCACCCCTCAGAACGTCCCGTTACCCACTCTCTCCCTCGTTCACAGTCTTGCCATGTTGGCCCTTTTCCTGCGCATGGAGTATGCCGCCCTCTTCCTGGCCCAGGGCCTTTGGCGTTTCTTGTTCACTCTGGCTCAGCTGCTCTCTCAGGGTTTGGCATGGTTGGTGCTGTCTCGTTACTTGGGACTGAACATTTTCTGGTCACCTAGTAGCACCCTTGTTGCCATGGGTCTGCCAGCCTGGTTTGTTTCATGGACAGCATTCGGTGTTCCCACTGCTGCTGCCGCTCCTCATTTTTCCTCTTCCCCCTCCTCCTCTTCTTCCTCTTCCTCCTCCCCTCCTCCTCTTCCTCTTTCTCTTCCTTTTCCTTCTCCTCCTCTTCCTCCTCCTCCTTTTCCTCCTTCTTCTCTTCTTAACAAAGTCTCACTGTGTAGCCCTGGCTGTCCTGGAATTCCCTATGTAGCCCAGCCTGGCCTCGAACTCACGGAGACATGCCTGCCTCTTCCTCCAGAGTGCTGGCATTAAGGGTGTGGTCCTCCATGCTGGCTCTCTCACTGCTTCTTTACATTGGTGACTGTGTACCGTTTCTTTTTGCTTTTTTTCCACTAGAATACAAGCTCCAGAAAGGCAGGGATGTAGTGTTCAGTTCTCCACCGGGTGCCCAGGGCCTCTGAAGCAAGTCTCAGGCGACTGGAGAAGCTCCCCCACATCTGCAGTGATTACAGATCCCATCCCCCCCCCCCCCTGCCCCTGGTCGCTCCCCGTCTGTTTGCCACCAGAACAGAGGAGACTTCCCAAGGCAGAGACAGTGAGCCTGAAAGGTGAGTGGGAGTTGATCCCTGAGAACTGAGAATGAAGAAGGCAGGCTGAGGGAGAGGAGCCCGTGGAGACCCAGGCCCTTCCTATGGCCGTTTTTGTTTAAGGGGGACACAATGCAAGGGCTGCTTTAAGGGTTCACGTGCTGTTCAGCCCCTTAGTCTCCCTTTTGGGTGAGGGCGACTTGAGTCTGCAGAGAACACAGGGTTGCCACGCACCGGAGCTCCCAAGCTGCCCATGATAGAAGCCCACGTATAGAGGTGCTCCAGAGATCTTTACTGTGATGAGCCCTCCAGGACAGGCACTCGGAGGAGAAAACAGTTCTGTGCACTGAAGTTGGATTAAGGTGTCAGATTCAGGTGATATGCAAGCACTCTGGGGCAGGTAAACAAATGTATTAATTTCTGGGAAACTGAAAACCGACCTGAATTCTCCAGAGAGGTGTTTCTCAAGTAAAGAAAACTCTTGTTTGCAGGAACTCTTGGGATGTAAACAGATTGAGGGAAAAAGTACTGCTGTAGCCAGGGGACCCACCAGGTGAGGTCTGCAGACCTCTGGCTTTTACCCCGTCACAAGCCCTCACGGTGCTCGGCGCTCAGTTTGGAAACTGTCCACTTTAGAACGAGCAAAAGGCTCTGTGGTGAGAAGGTGAGATGGATACATTTTCCAGGTTTTTCTTCACTCTTAGGTCTTATTCAGGACACTGGGAGAGAGCAACCATTTGTTTTCTGTACTTAGAAAAAAAAACTTTTAATCTCTTATTTGTTCTTGGAAAATTTTTTACATTTAAATCATTTTTTTTTTTTTTTTGAGACAGGGTTTCTCTGTGTAGCTTTGCGCCTTTCCTGGAACTCACTTGGTAGCCCAGGCTGGCCTCGAGAACTTACAGAGATCGGCCTGGCTCTGCCTCCCGAGTGCTGGGATTAAAGGTGTGCGCCACCACCGCCCGGCTTGGAACCTGTTATTAGAATAGGAATACCACTGGATATTATCAAGAAAAGATCTCCAGTGGTATAGGCCTTTGATGAAATGCTTTTGCTTTGGCAGAAGGAGCCCAGCAAATCCCTCTGCATGATCGCTTTCTTGCCGGACTACCAGATGCAAGCCTGAAGCCAGACCAAGTGCTCATCTCCGTTTTCATGCCCCTCTCTGGGAAGGTATGAGGTCACAGGGTTACAGTATCCACTGGCATCGCTGGTCTTCACCCTGAATTAGCCTTGGCATAGAGAAGCACAGAATTTGTAGCAAATGCCTTTTGCTTGCAGAGGTGCAGATAATTTCAGATTCGATGTAACCAGCTCCTTCAACAATGTCTTGCAGCATCAGAACATTGTGTTCTTTCCCCGCCTAGCTCTCAGGCTCAGGACACTTGGATCCACAGAGCAGTTCAGTGAAAAGGACCGATGTCCTCAAGGGATAGGTGAGGAGATGGCACTCCAAGAAGGTTTTATCATTTCAACCAAGATTTGTGGTGAAAGGTTGGTGGAAACAGGAGCCCAAGCCGCCACCAGCCTCAAAAGAGCTAAGTAGAAGAGTCATCTTAAAATCACTTGGCCTTACTGTACCAGATTAATGTTTCCTTTAAATTATTGATAATTACAGAGATGTGCATGATGGGCCAGTGAGCTCCGCTTATAGGAGGACGCTCTCAGCATATCAGGCTTTCACGTGGTCATTGGTGGAGAAATACAGCTTTGACACACTTTCCGTTCAGTCACAATATCTGTTTGCTATCCAGAAGCTTGGGCAAGTGTTTGTTGCTGTAGTATCTCAGGTTTTGTTTTTGGGAGCAGTTCAACCCAAAAAGGGAAAGTGGTCGTCACTGCCAAGCACACTCATTCCATTGACTCTTGCCCACAGCATCATTCACTCACTCGCCATTCGTTGAGGGGCTTCTGAGCAGATGGAATGCCAAGGACAGACTGAGAAGTCACTTTCACTTACCCAAAACATGAATAGATACCTTCTCTCTGCCAGGGCCTAAAACAGATTACAGTTTTAGCCAAAGTTCAGAGATGTAGCCAAATAAATTAGAACAATAAAATTAAAGATTCGCTGCTGCTGACTGAGGAGCAGATCTTAACGTTCAGAACCTCGTGGGCTAGCTTCAAAGATGCTACGACTTCAAAATGAGTTTTGCCAAAGGAGAAGAGAAACGGTGTTCTAAGCACGGAGACTATTCCGGGGTTCAAGTGTCTTAGTGAGAGTATCTGTAGTGAGTAGGAGGACTCAGAAGTTAAAAAGAAAAGCACATTCCATGCTCCATCACCCACATTGTATTCCTGTCACCCCCCCAAAGTTCAACCTAAATCAGTTCACGAGGAGAGAATCAGATAAATCTAGTTAGGGACAGTCCACAAACAGTCTGTGGTTCCCCACATTCAGTGTCATGGAAGAACAAAGCACAGTACTCCCTCAGAACAAAGGAACTAAGGGGGTTGTGACCATGCCACCTTCACCATCCAAGGCAGGGTTGGGGTCCCACCTGCACGCATGTAGAAATGTGAATGTGAACAGTATGTCAGATAATAGCATCATACCATTACCTGCTAATAAGGCTTGCTGTTAACAATGACGTTGACATGGAGCTATAGAGGAGAAAGCCCTTGTATTTTAGGAGTTACATATAGACATATTTAGTGAGGAATCATCCTGGTGTCAATGATTCATTTCAACAAAGGTTGAGTGTGTGTGTGTGTTAAGCTTAAGGGTAGACATATGTGATTAGTCACTGGTAAATCCATGAATCTAAGTGAAGGATATATATTTATTTACAGTTCTGCTCTAAGACGGCTATGGATTTGAAACATTTCAAAATAAACAGCCGTTCTTCTCGTTTTTTCCAGTGGGAGTTTGTGTCAGCTTTCCGACAGGCCCCACGTCAGCAAAATGCCCTTGCGACGGTGAACGCCGGAATGAGGGTTGTTTTCAACGAAGACACAGGCACCATGGCGGACTTCCGCATCTTATATGGAGGCGTTGGTGCGACCACAGTCAGCGCAAATAAATCCTGCCGGCGGCTGATCGGAAGGTGACTTACAGACGCTTGCTCTTCCCAGATGAGTCGCTGTCCTTTGAACAGTGCCAGCTGACATGATTATCAAAGGGGAGGAACTGTGCCTTCTCTCTGTGGCCGGAGCACTTTGGAGTAAGCACAAGGAAACAGCTCGCCCGAAGACGGCGTTGGTGTGTGCTATGCTCTTCCTGTGTGAGAAAGTAAATTTGAGCAACCTTTGTTTATATTTTAGGTTTCCTTTGGTAAGTGTACCAGGCCTTTTCTTGGGGGCCATCAACCAGTTTCCAAATCGTGACGCAGAGACCTATTCTTAGTTTTGAATGCTTGGCTTAGCTTAGCTGGCTAGCTCTTTTAACTTAAATGAACCTGTTTGTCGTTAATCTAGCTTTTGCCTCGGAGCTTTCCACCTTTCTTACTTCTGTATACCTAACTTTCACTGCTTCTTGGGTCTGCTGGCTGGCGGCTGCCTGGATTCCGGCCCCCGGGTGTCTCTCTCATTCTCTTCTCTCTTCTTCTCTCGTTCCTTCTTTCTCTTGAGCCTAGATATCTCCTCCTATTCATTCTCTCTGCCTGCCAGCTCCGCCTATCCTTTCTCTGCCTAGCTATTGGCCATTCAGTTTTTTATTAGACCAATCAGGTACCTTAGGCAGGCAAGGTGAAACAGATGCAACATATTTACATAATTAAACACACATCCTTACATCATTAAACAAATGCAGCATAAACAAATGTAACACACCTTTACACAGTTAAAGTAATATTCCACAGCATAAACAAATGTAACACATCTTTGCCTAGTTAAAATAATATTCCACAACAGGTAAGTATTAAATACTTGTTTGGCCCTGCCCATACTGAAATGGTTACATTCCTTTCCATGTGCCCAGGTGTTGGGATGAAGGGATGTTGAATGAAGCTTGCCAGCTGGTTCTGGAAGAAGTCTCCCTGCCAGCATCAGCCCCTGGAGGAATGGTGGACTACCGACAGACGCTGACCATCAGCTTCCTCTTCAAATTTTACTTAGAAGTGTTGAAGCAGTTAAAGATGAGGGTAAAGTTGTGGTTGTCCTTAGGATGCCCTGGGGAAGAGAGTTTGTTCTAGATGCTTCTCCAGCCTCTGGGAAGCTTAAGGGAACACCATGTGCTGACCTCACTATAGTTCTGTTCGTGAGCTACGTTTCTGAGGACCATGCTGAATGAAACCTGAAGCTCTCCTTAAGTTCACTCAAACTTCCCCAAAGCAATAAAAACAAAAGTCAGAAGACCGTGCAGCAACAAACATTTAAAATCCTGTATCTCAACTAAATCTCCACAAGAAGTACTCTCCATTAAATAAACTATACGTCTGTATTCCAGGATCCCCGTGGATACCCTGACATCTCCAAGAAACTCTTACATGTTCTGGAAGACTTCCCTTTGACCATGCCACAGGGGATGCAGTCATTTAAGGTCGGTACACTTTCTCAATGAACAGAATGTGGTAGAATATTATTTTAGGGTGTGTTACTTTTGTTTTTGTTGCATTTGTTTAATTCTGTGAAGCTGTGATACTGTGCCTGTGTGAAACACCTGACGGTCTAATAAAGAGCTGAATGGCCAATGGCAAGGCAGGAGAAAGGATAGGCGGGGCTGGCAGGCAGAGAGAATATATAGAGGGAGAAATCTGGGAGGAAAGCTCTAGAGCCAGAGAAGGAGACATCTCCAGCCATCCAGCAAGCCACAAAGAAAGGTATGCAGTGATAGAACGGGAAAAGCCCAGAGGCAAAAGGCGGATGGGATACGTTAAAGCTGGCTAGAAACTAAGCCAAGCTAAGGCCAGGTATTTATAAGTAGGAATAAGTCTCTCCGTGTGTGATTTATTTGGGAGCTGGGTGGTGGACTCCCCCCCCCCAAGAGTAAAGAACACCACCAACAGGACAGCCAAATGGGGCTGCAGCTGTCTTTTGACCTGGTTTTACTTTGGATCTCAAGTTGCTACTGTGGTCTTTTAAGAAAGGTTCAGCTATGGAATTACATTCATACTCAATAGTCAGAAAATGCAGTAGAATGGTAGTTTCTATTGACGATAGCCAACAAAACTAAATCTCTAGAAATAAAATCAGGAAAAAAATATGCAGTGCTTGTATAAAACAAACTCTTAAACTGCTGATAAACTTTTTCAAAGAACTTATATTTGAATTAAAAGAAACACAGGTCATAGTAGGAAAACATAGCATATAAAGATAATTTTCTCATAAGTAATGTAGATATTAAATATATTTCCAATCATAATACTGAACAGAGTTTTGGAAATTTTGATTTCAAGGTTTATCTAGAAATCTGGAAGCAGGCATTTATACAAACCAATAACGAGGAGTGGACCCAACCCTCTTCAGCCCTGATGACGCTGAACCTCCAGCTCTAGGAGCTAAACATATAGGCACTGCACTAAACATCATAATCATTACAGGATTCAGGAACAGACTGAAGATCAATAAAGCAGCACATAGTCCAGAAACAAACCAGGAAGCGTGCCATCATGAAAACAAAATTACATTTCAAATAAACGGTCAAATGGGGGGTTTAAGTAAAGACTTCTATGTGAGTCACTTTAAAAATAAAGAACAGAGCCATGTTTTCTACCTTACAGTGCATGTGAAGTCCCGATTTATTACTATTTTAAACATTAAAAAGCAGCAACATGAAATCACTAGGTTAAGGGGTGTGCAGATTCGGAGGAGGTCTTCCAAACAGGACTGACACCCAGACGCCATGCAGGAAAGCCTGACAGATCCAGCCACATAAAAGAGAATGCACGAGCGATTAAAAAAAAAAAACATGCACAGCAAAAACTTTTACAAATGAATAGACGTAAAGAATTGGCAGATCACTGGGGAAAAAAAATTTAACTACAACGTTAAAACAGACAGAGCCTCACTCAGAATTTTTTAAATGCATTTTAAGACAACTGTGAGATAAATTTTCAGTCTATCAGACTGGAATAATTTAAAATCTTCATCGTGCCCAGGTCTCACTGGACCTGAAGTATTTTTCTACAAACCCGGTCTCATAGAATCAGGTTGCTGAAATAGAGCAGCCTATCTGTAAAGGTAGTGGGGCTCTCTGAGATCCCAGCAGCAGGGGGCAGCAGAGACCTCCTGTGCTGTGTCGATTCATGTCACACCCTGGTTTTAAGAGGCTTTTTCTGTTGCGTTTTTTCTGAGGCAACGGTTAAACAAAAAGAGACAGCGTTATCCGTTCCTGTCACTGTCTCCGTGGCAGGGAGTGCTCAGGTGGCCGCTGGCTGGAAGTTACCTGGAGAGCCTCCTTGCCAGGTTTCACACTGCTTTGCTGAGGAGACATGAATGTCTGTTCACCCCACGTAGGGAACCTCTGAGGGGACAAAGGAAAGAGCCCAGCCAAGTCCAGCTTGGTGAAACCATGAATGTATTGGACTAACTCATGGGGGCATAGGTGAGGGATTACTTACAGGACTATGGGTAGCCCCCAAACAACTGTGTCACCAAAAGGTCCCACCCCAGTGGCGGGCCAGCCCTCCTGACCTTTCTAGTCACTCATGTAGAGCTCAGACTCCTGTTTCCATCAACAAAGGTGTTGCTTACACAGGCCTCTCTGTCCTCTGCTCCCATTAAAGAAATCCACCACGGGCCCAGCTCAGATGACTGCCGTGATGGAGCTCTCTGTACTTAACTAGTAATGCAGATTAACTTTTTCTAGTGCTAGCTATGATAAAATACCTCAGGTAAATCAACTTCCAAAGAGCAAAGGCTCATTCAGCTCACGGTTTCAGGAATTTGCCCCTATGACTGGTTGGCTCCCGTTTCAGGGAGACCGTGGTGAGGTAGAACATCATGGAGGACAGTGTGTTGTAGAACCAAGTTGCTCACCTCATGGCAGCCAGGAAGCAGGGATGAAGAGGAGAAAGAGCTGTGGTCCCGATCCTTTCTCCAGGCCCCCAGTGATCTAACTTCCTTCTGCTAGGCTCTGCCTCTTGAAGGCTCTACCCCTCTTCCCAGTATCACCCCAGGATGGTCACCGGGCCTGCAACATCAGGTCTTTGGGAAGATAATTCAGACCTAAATTACAGAAGGAAACATGAGAAAACTTTATACCCATCCATTGGTGCCTGTCCTGTCAACAGAGCTGCCTTTAGAAGTTTTGATGTACCCTTCAGGGTTGGGGAAAGTGTGAACTGAGAAATTAGGGTTATGTACACACACACACACACACACACACACACACACACACACACACACACACACATATAGATACACACACACTGTTTTTTATTTCTTATTAGAGAAGAAAAGTGTGTCCTTCAATTCTCATACAAATCTAAAGCATATAGCAGAGTTTTTTTTTCAAGACAAGGTTTCTCTGTATAACAAACAGCCTTGGCTGTCCTGGAACTTGCTATGTAGACCAGGGTAGCCTCGAACTCACAGAGATCCTCCTGCCTCTGACTCTTGAGTGCTGGGATTAAAGGCATGCACCACCATAGCCCGGTTTAGCAGAGTTAGTTTTTTTTTTTTTTAAATCATTAATGAGGAAACTAATTTTTAAAAAATCAGTGAATAGAAGTGAAAGGGATCGAGTTTGGTGAAATGTGGCTGATTTAGATGCAAAACCAGAAAATACCTTGCAGAGAACCTGTAACCTTTGAGACCATTTTTTTTCATACAGGGAACAAATAACTTGATTCTCTCTGGGAAACAAAATCAAACCCTGCATGTCCCCACATAACTGTGCATCTCCACCCCACCTCAGCATCATAGGAAACGGAGCAAACCCTGCATGTCCCCACGTAACTGCAGTCTCTACCTCCCTTCAGCATCATAGGAAACGGAGCAAACCCTGCATGTCCCCACGTAACTGCATAGGCGGATTCCAGAGGCTTGCTGGCCAGCCAGTCTAGCTCAACAGCAAGCTCCAGGTTCAGTGAGAGAGGTCCTGCCTCAAAAATAAGGTGAAGAGTCGAAGACACTAGATGTCAAGTTCTGCCACTAATTGATGACACTGTCTTCAATGGCCTCTCACTGAGATCTATTTATAAACCATACAGGTTTCCTCAGAAAATAGGTCTCCTAGCCGCTAGCTGTCACAAAATCTTTGTTCAGGTGGAATCCCTGCTTGTCTCTCTTTACCAGGTGTGAGCACCCTTCTGTTTTACACAGTGAGGGGGGGGGGACTCCCTCCCAGACCCCGGATCCGTCACAGACCACCCCCGAACACCTGTTTCACGGAGATCCTTCATCAAGCAGGGAGGAAAGTTAAAGTGGCTGCTTTCTGACTGTGCCCTTGCAGATCCATTCTTAAGAGAAAAGGGGAGGTCGGGGTTAGAATGGGCTGGGGTGCAGTGGGAAAGGAGGGAGGGGAGGAGGGAGAGGGGGAGAGGACACAGGAAAGGGGGAGGGACATCTGTCCAGAGGACAAAGGACGGCCTCTGGATAGAGGGAGACAGACATGGCACATGGGCAAATGGAGGTTTATAAAGGTAAAATGGGAAACCCCAGGTTAGGATGAGGTGTTTAATTTTAATTGGACATGTTAATAAGATGAGCCAAAAGGGGCTTCTGGTTGTTGGACTTTGGTTGTCAGTCTCAGGAGGAGGAAGTGACCAAATAAAGTAGACTGTAGCAGGAATTTTAAAAGTTCTTATTAATAAAATCAAACCCAAGGCGAGTTATTGGGGTCCATGCTGGTAGATCAGAGAGACAGAACAAGCCACAGCTAACCTCACCTGGTCAACTTCTCAGCTGGTCTTGTTTCCTCAGAATGGAAGCTTCTGAGTCCTCATCCCAATGGCTCTCAGCTGAACTGCTGCTTCAAAGCTTGAATGCTTAACCAGCCACATGCTTAACCAGCCAAAATCTTCTAGTTTCTGGTCCTCACGCCTTATATATCTTCCTGCTTTCTACCACCACTCCCTGGGATTAAAGGCGTGTGTCACCATGCTTGGCTATTTCCAATGTGGCCTTGAACTCACAGAGATCCAGAGGGATTTCTATCTCTGGAAT